AAAACTCTGAATACATTAAAAACCATAGAAATGAGAACAGATACACTTTCTAGAGCAGCTTTTGTAATATTTTGCAAATACTAGTATATTTATAATGATCTCTAACATTTTAGAATATATGGTTCATTCAGGCAAGTAGTTCTAAAAAAACCGCTGAACTAAGTATTTTTGCATTATGAACCATAAAGGCACAAGTTGGAAGAACACATAAATATGAGTCTTCTCACTTCTTCTCCAGAAAAGGTCCATAAGTAGTTATCCTGAGTAGAGTTGCAGAACTAACCTTAAGAGACTAGGTATATTCTTCCTAAAGCTACCAAGAATTTAAATAACCAGTAAGGTCAAAATTATTTTTCCTTCAAATCGGTTTAATTTTCCTTACTCATTAGCAATCTGGTTGATTACTGAAAGGAACACACTATTGACTAGGAGCACCACATTGCTAGAATTAGCACTTTATGTACTGTAAGAAGCTAGTTAAGTTTGTCATTTCAGAAATTACAGAAATGGTTTTATATTGATAAAACCAATAATGACATTTATACTGTGATATTTTTATTCTTTTGAAAATATGAGCACTATATTAGAACATATGTTTCCTCTGGTTATATTGGAGAAATGTAAAATATCTCTTGACTGCTAAAGAATAAAAGATGCATTCACCAGTCTTTCTAAAAGGCTATTAAACACACACTTTTCCACTGGCTCAACTTTTCATTTGAAGAAACATTATAATGAATTGATTTTTTTAGCTCATATTAAGTATATCAAAAGTGTATCCGGCCGGGCACGGTGTACAGGCTAGGATTACATGCCTGTAATCCTAGCACTCCGGGAGGCCGAGGCGGGAGGATCGCTCGAGGTCAGGAGTTCGAGGCCAGCCTGAGCAAGAGGGAGACCCTGTCTCTACTAAAAATAGAAAGAAATTAGCTGCACAACTAAAAATCTATATAGAAAAAATTAGCTGGGCATGGTGGCGCATGCCTGTAGTCCCAGCTACTTGGGAGGCTGAGGCAGTAGGATTGCTTGAGCCCAGGAGTTTGAGGTTGCTATGAGCTGGGCTGACGCCACGGCACTCACTCTAGCCAGGGCAACAGAGTGAGACTCTGTCTCAAAAAAAAAAAAAAAAAGTGTATCAAAAGAACAAACTGCTGTCTTATGTCAAATTCTGTTTGACCTATAGCTAAAATATCTGCCCAATAATTAAAAAGTAATGGATTTTAAAGTATTACAAAATAGAAGATATTGCAATAAAAGGACTGGAAAAGTTGAATAGGTTTCTCTGTTGCTCCTTTTAGAAGTAGTCAAGCCAAAAAGGTGAAGGGAAAAAAATTATTAAAATATTTCAAATTCATAATCATTATTTGCATGCTCAAATACATAAATATGTGTAGGTATATACTGAGAGACTGAGAACTGCTACAAATATCCTTTAGCTAACAAGCAAGAAAATGTGTATTCTGCCATCTTTCTGGCTAATTTCAACAAAAGGAAAAATGATTAAATATGACAAATCTGAATAGTATTAATGTACAAAGTATACCTATTATTTTTACATATAAGGTGAATGTGAAGAAGTTACATGTTTTAATTTTTATTTGAGAAAATAACTTTAAATACTCAGTATTTCTATTCATTAAAGTCCTATTACTTAAGAGTAAATCTCAATTATTTTTGTTTATAAGAAAACAAAATACACCTGACATTACAATGAATTAATTTTTTAAATCTCATATACTTTATTAAGTTATCAAAGAACAAACTGCTATCTTATGTCAACTTCTGTTCGAGCTAATAGTTGAAAAGCCTATTCGCATGAGGTACTGAGAAGCAGTCGTTACGGGGGTTAGCATGGACTACGAAGTCAGACTGCCTGAGTTCAAAAGCAGGATTTGTCATTTAACAATATGATTTTGAAGAAATTATTTAACCTCTGCGTGACTTATTGATTTGTAAAATGAGGTTTAACAGTAATTATTGTTAATTAGCAACAATAATTATTGTGATTAATGTTTGGGACATGTTTAACATTCTATAAATATTAGTTGTTATTGTTATGGAGTAAGCTGCCTATACTTTTGATTCGAAATTGGATATTTCATATTTAATGACCTAATAGTTGCCTAGGACTTGAGGGGGGGGGCGGGGGGATAGGAGGAAACTCTGGAAGAAAGGGGCATGATTGTTATTAGATACAGGGTTTCTTTTTGGGTTGATCAAAATGTTCTAAAATTGATTGTAGTGATGATGACAAAACTCTGAATACATTAAAAACCATAGAAATGAGTGAACTATATGGTATATGAATTATATCTCAATAAAGCTATTAGAAAAGTTAATTTAAAAAATTAAAGACAATAGAACTTTATATTTATAGGGTAATAAATCCAGAAATGTTATGTAAATGGAATAAAAACTCTGTACTAAAGGAACCAGATGCTGTCATTAAAATATTACCTTCTACAATCTGGCAATCTGATTCTGTTCTTTTCATACATAGAGTACAAGGAAAGAAAAATAATGTTTGTTATATGTGGCACGATTTAAAGAAAAGAATAAAAACACAAATTTTCAGTCTTATGTAATTTCCCTTCCACGAAGAACTAAAAGTTACACAGACTCTTAAAAATAGGTTTCCAGGTGTTAATTTTTAAACCTGAAAATAAAACTCCATATCATCACTCTGTATATGTACAGACAAGCTCTGTCTTCACTCATGTAGAACATAGCTCCCTTATGTATCTTTGCTTCAGCATAAACAAGCTTCCTACGACTTCATCTCAAATTCTCCACACAGTTCCCAAGTTGAACACAGTCTATTTTGTATTATAGATACTGACCTAAGTGTGTCTTAACATGTTTGGAATCTTCATTTTAAGTAGCTAATGAGCTGATAATTAATTTTATGTTTTTAATTAACGTTTCCTATCTTATTAACAAATTTCTCTAGAGATTTGTTCAATAACTTCTTACTACATGGATAAAAACAAAGCAAGCAACCATGTCAAACTTCCTTAGGAAGCTCTTCAAAACAAAAGAAAAGTAAAAATCCTACACCATCCGAAGTTCAAATACTAAGCAAGAAAAATAAAAGGGTAATTTGTAATAAGGCTTAAAAATTCTAATTTATGACTGGGATATTTATAATCAATATGGTGAACTGGAAAGATAGATTGCTGAACTAGTTTATTAAGCTATCTGGGCTTACAAAGGTAGAGGAAGCTGTCTGCCTGCCCCAAACACTAACATCATGTGTCCTTCCTGTTCTGATAGGTAAAGAACAACTCATGCAGTGGAGGGGGAAGATACAGAGATATCTGAAATTTGGAGGACAGAGTAATAAACATTTCTGCCCTCTCTGGGGAACTTCACACCCAATCCATTGTATGAGTTGCTTGTTACTAATTAGGTGAAGTAGGATACAAGATAATCAGTATTTTGATCAGTTAGACTCTTCTACCTTCCCAAGCCCAGAGAGTTTAGTAAATTATCTTACTTAGAAAGGTATATATATGAACTGAAACAATTAATTTTGAAGTGGCTCCTGAAGTGTGTTTCTAGAATTCTTGGTAAAGGCACAGAATCTTGACTTAGTTACCTTAAGTAATTGTTTTCCAATTGTTGGGCTCATCTTTTCATCTACCATGAGAATTACAATTCCTCTATCATCCATTCCCCTCCTTCCAGCACGACCAGACATCTGAATGTATTCACCAGAGGAAATCTGAATGAACATAATTAAAATTCAGGGTTTAGGAGAAAACCTGGTTAAAAAACACATTCTTAAAATTTTTCTTATTGTAAAATTCACAAGCTATACTCCAAGAAAAAAAACATGATTAAACATGTTTAAACATGATTAAAAACAGCATGAACTTTTAGGAGAGTTCAAGTAAAGGACAATAATGCAAAACACTTGAGAATAGTGTTACAAAACTAAATTTTACATACAAAATGACCTGATTTTAATAGTAAGCCAATAATTTTTCATTTATTCTTTCAAATAAATATACAATAGCTATCAAGAAATACTGGCTAATCTACTGACATAAAAAATATCATTGAGCTAGATATTTTGAAACATAGCAAAATCTAAGAATGCAAACAATGACCCAAACTTAACCAAATATCAATTCTGGCTTGATCACAATAAACTTTTATAATCTGCAAAATGAGATGAATATAAATTAACACTTTTAAAAAATGTACGATTCTCTCCTATTTTCTTGGTATGTGTGTTTGGAGTTTGGCAGAGTCCATTTGTCACTAAGAACAACCTTGTGGAAGAAGTTAGTAAGCCTCCCATATACAGGCTTTCAGGGGAGCATTGAACCACGTGAATTCTGGCCAACATTTTTTCTATAAGTGCATGTGTACTTTTCTCCTGTGGAAAGGGTCTGGATTCTAAAAAAAAAAATTATGACTCAAGAAGAGTTAAGAACCATTATGAGCCATGACAATGACGACTGAGGATGGCAGAGGTGGCCAGAGCCCAGACATCACAGAGCTACTAAGGCACTGAAGAGTCTGCCACCTGCACAAAGTGCGGACAGGGCACTGCCTACAGAGCAGGTCCTGTCAGCCTCAACGGAGGATGCCCTCATGTCTGTGATGGACCATGGGACAAGCATGCAAGGTCCTTCCTGAGCCACCCAAGGATGTCCAGCTGAATGTGGTCAAAGTGGAGCCCTTCAATGGCATTAAGAGTGATGTGTACTAGCACATCATCGCAGAGGTGGACATGTTGGCCCTCTCGAAGCCGGACTCCCAGCAGCCTGTCAATATGCACGCCTCTGCCACAGGACCCCCACTACTGGCCACACAGAACCTCGCACAGAACCACTATGCAGGGCCAGGGTGGCAAAGAACAGGACCAAGTTAGACCCATGTGTGACAGCTAAGTATGATATCGAGGCCATGACTGGCCTATGTAGCTTCAGCCAAGTAGTACATGTGGAGCACTGGGCAATCTGGTAGCTATGTGCCATCAAGATGATTGACACCAAGTACCAGGAAGTGTGTGAATCTCATCTGCGTGTGCTGTGCCCGGTATCTCATGCCAACATCATCCAGCTGGTGGAGGTGTTTGAGACGCAGAAGCATGTGTACATGGTGATACAACTGGCCACGGGTGGAAAGCTCTTCAACTGCATCATCACCAAGGGTTCCTTCACTGAGCGTGATGCCACGCAGGTGCTGCAGATGGTGTTAGATGGTGTCCAGTATCTGTATGCACTGGGCATCACACACTGAGACCTCAAGCCTGAGAATCTGCACTGCTACCACCTGTGCACCAACTCTAAGATCATCATCACTGACTTTAGTCTGGCCAGTGTCCACAAGAAGGGTAACAATTGTCTGAGAAAGACCACCTGTGGCATGCCTATGCACACCGCCCCTGAGGTTGTGGTCTGTAAGCCTTACGCCAACTCAGTGGACATGTGGGCACCCGGTATCATCACCTACATCCTACTCAGGGGCACCATGCCCTTTGAGGATGATAACTGCATCCGGCTTTACCAGCAGATCCTCAAGGACAAGTACAGTTACTTGGGGGAGCCCTGGCTTTTCACTGACCGACCGCCTGCTGACAGCAGACTCCACAGCCCATATGACTGCACTGCAGGCCCTGAGGTACCTGTGGGTGGTGAACATGGCAGCCTCTTCATCCATGAAGAATCTGCACCACTCCATCTCCCAGAACCTCCTTCAAATGCTAAAGCACCAAATCTGCCTAGCTCACAAGTTCCAATTGCTCAACACACCCCAACAAGTTGTGCCACGTGTGGAAGTATGAGCTGCGGAAGCTCAACCTGTGCTGCCGACAGCAATACACTGGCTAAGCCACCTGGTACAGACACGGCATGGTCCCAGCTGGGCCACTCACTGCTGTGCCATCTGGGACCTCTCTGGAGACAGGACTATACAGCAGCAGTATACAAAGAATGTCTGGCTCTAGTCCCTTCTTTGTGCCTTCAGCAGCCCCCATCATCACCATGGGCCTAGGCCAAGTATGACATAGTGGAGGTGGCCCAGGAGACTGTGACCCCTCTAAACTAGGAACCTGGCCTGGCACTGACAACCCTTTTGGTGGGCAACTGCTCTGATATGGGGTAGGGGAAGGGACAGGACATGGCCTTCACTGTTTGCCTTATGCTTTGGCTCTTCCCCAGATCAAATGGGCCTGCAATGCTGGGTGGAGGGTGTCCTATAACCTCAGGACCTTTTTTTTGAGACAGAGTCTCACTGTGTTGCCCGGGCTAGAGTGCTGTCGCGTCATCCTAGCTCACAGCAACCTCAAACTCTAGCCTCAGGACCTTTTGAGACATTTACATCTGGAATCCCACCCCACCCCACTTTCCTCCACAGAGCCTTCCTCTCTGGCCCCTCACATTCCGTGGAGATTATGCTCCAGCAGGAGGCTCAGATAGGCACAAAGCTCATGCCTTGACTGGACCCTAAGCACCTGGCTCCATCCAAATAGTCCCTCCACCTCTTAGTCAAGATCTGTCTTCTTCATAGTACCCCAAGGACCCCTCCTGGCACCAGGACTTGCCAAGACCTCTGGTGATAGGGCCATGGCATGGAACTTAGCCCTTCTGGACAGTGTGGCCATGCTAGTGGCAGGCTTGCCTGAGGCTTCCACCTCTGACTATGAGAGGGTCCCTGTCCACCAGCCCACCATCCTCAATGCCTTCTTTACAGAGCCCACCATTACCTCCCTCTCCCCCTTGGATGCCCATTCCATTCCCCAGGAACCTTCTTCCCAGCTGTGATGGCTTAATGAGAGTCCCACTGCTGTTATCTGGGGGATGGGAGCAGCTAGTGGCCAAGGCAGAGGGTTTCCTATTAAGATTCCACTGTTAGCCTAAGTTTGATCCTTTGGTATAGACAATTGCCTTTTAACTTTATGCTCCATAGCTCTCTCCTCTGCAGCAGCATGAAGTTGTCACCTGGTGTCTGAAAAGGATAGTTAGCTTGGGAATGATCACTGCAGGCCCACCATCCTCCACAAGGAAGTGGGAAGGAAAGAGTTGCTATATTGGCGGAGAGTTCCAGACTGCTCAACTCTACCCTTCTGCTGAGTTTCTATGCACCTCTCCCTGGAACTTAGCCATACTGTGTGACCTACCTCTGAACCCTGGGTGCCCGGGGCACTGGCCTTCTCACAGTTAGCCTTGGCCTGTCTGCTCTGTGCCTACTTCTTTTCACAGCATTAACTTTCCAGTCTGGGCCCCTCTGAGTCTCAGGCCAGAGGGAGCCCCTGTGGGAGGTGGGTAGGGTTGGAAGAGTATTTTCCCAGAGGTCTGAGCCAGAACCATCCCCGTATCTGTCATGGGGTCTCCCTCCACCACAAATCCAGGCTGGAATCCAAGCTCCCTCCCTCTACAACTGTTTTTAATAGGTGGGAAGGGGCCAGAGCCTACCTTTGGCCTTAACTAGACCACAGGACCCCTGCCAGCAGGGAGGGTTTGGTTCCCACTTGGCTCCTCCCAGTGGACAACCTTGGGCCAGGCCCTCCTCTTCTTGCATATGCTGCCACCAGTGTGAACTAAAACAAAGACACCACTCTATACCAAATCAACTGTGCCTCACACACCCTTTCTTTCCATCCACACTGGTCCCTGGGCAGGAGGCAGTAGAAAGCCGAGCCCCATGGCCTTAGCATTTCCCTTCAATTCCCCAAGTGTCTCTGGGGACCTGAAGCCCTGGGGATTTATTTCCTCTCTTGCTGCCTGGTCCTGAAGATAGAACAGAGAGGGTTTAGAAACTTGGGCTTTTTTTTTTTTTTTTTTGAGACAGAGTCTCACTGTGTTGCCCAGGCTAGAGTGTCATGGCGTCATCCTAGCTCACAGCAACCTCAAACTCCTGGGCTCAAGCAATCCTCCTGCCTCAGCCTTCCGAGTAGTTGGGACTACAGGCATGCGCCACCATGCCCAACTAATTTTTTCTATATATTTTTAGTTGTCCATCTAATTTCTTTCTATTTTTAGTAGAGACGGGGTCTCGCTCTTGCTCAGGCTGGTGTCAAACTCCTGAGCTCAAACGATCCGCCCGCCTCGGCCTCTCAGAGTGCTAGGATTACAGGCGTGAGCCACCGCGCCCGGCCAAAACTTGGGCCTTTGATAGGCCCGCCTGGGCCTTCATGCCATGGACTGCAGATGGAGAATGTGCAGGTTTTTGTGTACTCAGTTTGTAAATGTATCCTCTGTATTCAATAAATAGGCAGCCCATTTGTTTGGTTAGAGGAAGAGCAACTATGTTACAAGAAGGCATACTACTGATAGCAGACCTGAAACCTGGGAGCAAGGAAGGTACCAGAAAAAACAAAAAAACCCAACTCTATAAAGATCAGAAAAGAATGTTTCAAAAAGGCAGTACAGTAAAATCTCAACAGGGACCAAGGGTATCACTACATTGTACACATTCCAATTTTTAAATTTCACAATTATGATCTGGAATCATGAAGAAAAAGCTGCTTTGTTAAACTCAGTTATCCATTTACTCTCACCTGGGATCCATGTACCACCTACAAAAGGACAAGGAATGCCAAAGAACAAGTAAAGTCACAAACAAAAGACTTACTTATCTTCTTGTGGCATTAATTTTATTCATAGAATTAAGTCATTTTAAACTGATTATGAAGAACAAAAAATTTACATTAGTTCAAAATATATGAAAAACTTTTAACTGCATTATAGTTAAAAATCATATTCTACATGAATTAGTCCTCCTTCAATTTAAAAAAGTCATAAATTACAGAAAAATTTTGAAGGTTAAGTAAAAATTTCTAAACAGAAAAGGCACTGCCTCACTATACTTAGATTTCACTTTTGTATAGCATCCAGTGCATTTTAAAATGAAACAAATCAAGAAAAATGCTCTGCCTTTACAGTTCTAACATGGGTACTTTTTAAGGTTTTAATGGTTTGTAATTACTTTCAGAAATTTCTCTAAGCACAAAGAATCACCAATTTCAAGGATAAAAGGTTAAGTAAAGGACTACTTACAATTTTCCCCAAATCTCAGACTACGTCAGTCTTTGGCTTGCAATGGATACTCAAACTAGAAATCTCTCTTCCTTTCATCACCTATTTTTCACCCCTGCCAATGTTCTTCCACTGCCTGCTTGGCAAATACTCATTTGCTGTTGCTGCTTATTTTTTAGAATTGTCTTTTCTATGAAGCCTTCCTCGACCCCATATATATAACTGAATTTCTTTCTTATGCTATATCCTTCCTGTACATACTTCTCCAAGTGTTTATAACATAATGTTTATTGCATGTCTATTAACTTTTACCTGTAACTGAAGTTTCTTTAGACTCAGGATTATATTTTTGTTTTTGTTTTTACTTTAGCAACCCAGTATCTACCAGAGTTCTAAATCCATATTTTAAGTTTGGTAATTGTTTGCTAAATGGGGTACTAGCCTCTGAATTAAGGATTAACTTTTTACCCCAGCTCACTGTTTCATTCATGCCCCCAACTTTCTCTTTCCTTCTGTCTTGGGAGAGATGTGTGCAAACCTGTTACAACTTCTATTTTAAACCTGAAGGGCAAAATAGTTAGCAACTATAACCACTGTAGTAATGAGTATCTTAAACTTTAAGAAATGAAAATTCTAGATAAAAAAAAAAAAATGTTTTAAAGCATTCATGAATCACTTATACACTAAACCCCCCATCCCCAAACTTCTTCACCTAAAGGAATCTTATTTTGTTTGAGGGTGGGGAGTGACAGGATAGAAATTGAAAGGATCCAAAGTTTAACCCTGATGAACCTGTATTAGCTTGGGTACAAGTTCTTAAGTAGTTGGGACTGAAAATCTCAAAAATTATATGAGCCAAAGTCATTGGAGGTAAAACAATTAAAAATAAAAATTATTTCAATACATGAATTAATTTACTTACCCATCGGAAATCCTTCCCATCAAATTTGCGGGCATTTGTAAATAAAACAGTTCTAGCTGGCATGTTAATTCCCATAGCAAAAGTCTCTGTGGCAAATAAGGCCTAAATAAATGAATAATAAAATAAATTACATAACTAAACATGAATTTTAAGCTGGTAACCAAGTTTTATAATTCAAGTGTAAATGAATGTATCATTCATTTTTTTAAATTTAGTTTTCTTTTTAACACAGCGTCTCACTCTGTCACCCAGGCTTGAGTGGAGTGGCATGATCATACCTCACTACAGCCTTGAACTCCTGGGCTTAAGAAATCCTCCTGCCTCATTCTCCTGATTGGCTGGAACCACACCCAGTTAATTTTTTAAATTTTTTGTAGAGATAAGGTCTCGTTATGTTGCCCAGCATGTTTAATTAGTTATTAATGAGACCCTACAAAAGTAACAAACAACGTGGCAGTCCCAGATGTATTTCAGTATTTTATACACAAAATTATTAAATAATACTTAATGTCCCTATAACCCAGAAAATTTTTAATTAAAGGAAAATCTCCTTTCTTATATTTCAGTGGTGGTAACTGGAGAGAATACATTGGTATTATGGATAAAGCTTTAGGCTACAGAATAATTTTCTAAACATAGGCAAATTTTCTTGCTTCTTCACTAATGATGCAGAGTTTGGGGGACCACTTCACTATTAGGATCTCTTAGAGGCGATCAGAATCAGTGATTCTTTAAGTTCACTTCTAGGACTTTACCAACAAAACTAGTCATTTAGACACAAAAAGATATATGAATAAGTCACTGAAGTACTACATTTTCATCAATAGGAAAGAAGATTAAAAAACTTCAGCTCATCAACTATTTAGAATACTATTTATTTGCTAAAAAGAATGAAGAACCACACATATGACAATATTGCGTAAATAACACGGGTGGTATATAATGATTTGTTTAGAAAATAAACCACGTGTTATTTTTGTGTATGCTAATGGACATTTCTGGGAAGTGAAGGGGATGATCTTTCACTTTTTTACTTCATGTACAACTGTTCTATTTGAATTTTACAACCAACAAGTATCATTCATTTTTTTTGAAGATCCTTTAAAGGTAGGGATCAACAAAATATACAATCTGGAAGGAAATACTAACAGGGACTTGCCAGGAGCCAGGTAGAAATATTGACCAGCTATTGATCTAAATTACTTCAAATACATTCTTCAAGGTGTGTAAATTTCTCTTATATATTCTACTTAGTGCTGAGGTTCTCAGGATAAATCTCCCATATGATTTTTAAAATTCTAATAATTTTTAAACATAAAATAATTTATGAGTCATATGTAGACTTATGATTAAATTTTGAAGGTGTTTCACATTTTTAGTTTGCCATTTCTGGGTACAGACATCAATGTAATTTTGTATGTAAAACTAAATCAGACTCTCTTTGGTTTAAATTAGAACATCCTAAAAACTCTTTTCTAAGTCTAACCAGCAATTCTCCTTGTCTTCATTAAACTAATCCTTTTAATCTGTATGTAGAAAGACCACTTATCAACACCACATCTAATAATTAAATAACAACTTCTTCAAAATTCTACCATATCCATAGTGTTACCACTTCTTACTTTAAGAGAGAAAACTGGACTATAGATTTTTATACCTACAGTTCAAAATTTATGAAGTATAAGACTGTACACAAAAATCAAGTTCATTACCTAAGTCATTCCATACAAATTAAAAAAAAAAAAAACTACACAAAACAGCCTATAAACAATGTTCTCCATAATTTTCAAACTGTTCATACAACACAACTCTGGGGCATAAAAAATAAAAATAAAAACCATACCTTTATTAAGCCTTCAGAAAAGAGAATTTCTATAGTTTCTTTCAAAATAGGAAGTAAACCACCATGGTGAATACCAATCCCCCGCTTCAAAAGAGGAAGTACGTGTTCAACCTGTAATTTTAGAATAATGTGTATTTTATAATGACACAAGGGAAGGAATTTTAAAATATTAAACTAACCAAATTAAGAAAAATGGGTGATTAAATAATGCTCTGTATTTAAAGAAACTGTTAATAAAAACCTTTTCAGAATAAAAGCAAAACCCAAACCCTATATTCCCCCAGCTTATTAAACTCAAAATATAATTCAGACCTAGCTCTCTTTAATATGAAGAGGCATGTTGTAAATAAACTTTACAAATGCTTTGCTGCCTTAAATTTTCCAGTATCACTTCATCTCCTCCACATAACCATAAAACATATTTAACATGAATATGTACTTCATCTAAAAACAAACGAATTACTGAAGAGTTCATTCTCATTAACAATTTATCAAATGCCATTAAATACCTACTATTAGAAAAGTGCAATGATAACAAAGATGTATAAAGACATAGCACAGCCCTTAAATACTAATAATTCAGCTAGGAAGGAGAATGACAAAACAAAGCTTAGAAATTAAATACCCTTGTAAATGCCAAGAAACATGCTACCACTGTTGTACGGTAAATCTCTTACAAATCAAAGCATTCGCATTGATTGGTAAAGCAGAGTGTGACCTCTCGATTTTTCTTTTCATACAACAACTTTTCATATATTCAGTGTGCCTAAAGCAGTAGTTCTCAACTCTGAATGCACAGCAGAATCACCTGAGAGCTTTTGAAAGATTCTAATGACCATGACACACATCGGATCAATTAAATTAGCATTTCTGGAAGTGGCACCGAAGCAACAGTATATTTTAGAATTTTCAATTTCAACACTCAAAAAAAAAAAAAACACACTAGATTAAAGCAAAATAGATGTTAAATTCCTCACTGAACACATGATTTTCATTAGGTGTGTTCTCTTATTTTATTTGGTAGCCTTATGAATTAAAAAATGTAATGACTTAAAACCAATATTAAAAATGTTGTCATATTAGGAACATTAGCAGTAATTTCCAGACCATATACTAGCTTTCAGAGAAAGTTCTTTGAGGCAGCAAATCTTTCTTCCTGTCACCTTTTCAGAAATTTAAAATATAAATCAACGTATTATTTCAGTGCATATTGCAACAAACATGCTGTAGTATGCAAATAGTATGACACAGTAACAAAACCAAGAAATGAAAGGTGAATATATGCCATCTATTAATACCCACACTTTACCAACTGATATGAAAAACTCACTTGAGGGAGTTTTTTATCTTCATCAGACAAGCAGTCAATTGCATTACTGAATACTTCTTCAACCATCTTCTTTTCTTCATCTAAGAAGGAAAATTCAAAGGTATAAAAAATATCAAAATGAGTGAAGTAATAACAAACTTCACATTATAAACAATAAGATTCTAAGAAGAATAAAAAAAGTCAGGATGGTCAAAAGGTAAAGGAGATAAAAATTACCACATATTAATAAAATTCAGTGACTTTCAAAACATATCTAGCACACTTAATCCACAAAGAAAAGTACTATCTTATAAATGGTAACACTAACTATACCTATTGCTTTACAGACAACATTTCATTCTAATGGTTACAGGACACAGGAACTATTATAACCTACTTTTTACTACTGAGGAAAATGAAGCTAGTGTAAATAATCAGCACTGTTAGAGAAACAGTTCAAAGCCCATGCTCCCAACTACTGCAATGCTTTCTTGTACAGTGTCTATCAAATAACAGGCATTAAATAAATGTATTAAATTAATCAACATGTAATCCTGCAACTTCAAGCATATTCAGCACTGGTAGTTAAGAGAAAACATTTATAAACAGAACAAGTCACTCAAAAAACATAAAATATTACTGGCATTAGGAGGCTATCTGAATTATCTGTTATTTGTTACTTTTACCCATGGAAAAGTAAGAATCATCTTTAAAATGCATAGATAAACAATACCTATCTTAATAAAGAAACAATATAACTAAAATTTAATTTCAGGATGATTCATGATATTATTTACTTCTCAAAGTATGGGATTACATATGTAAAAGGCAGAGCTGAACGACAACTGTGTATTCAGCACACTGCAATTCTTGGCCAGTGCTATGGTTTAAATGTGTCCCCTAAAGATCATATGGTGAACAACTTAATCTCCAATGCAACAGTGCTGAGAGGTGGGACTTTCAAGAGGTGATTAAGTCATGAGGGCAGCACCCTCATGAATGGATTAATGCCTTTATCACAGGATAGAGTTAATTCTAGTGGGAGTGGGGTCCTGATAAAAGGATGAGTTCAGCCCCCTTACCCCTCCTTCCCTCTCTTGTGTACTCTCTTGCCCCTCTGCCTTTGGCTGTAGGATGACACAACAAGAAGGCCCCTCACCAGATGTGGGTCCCTCGAACTTGGATTTTCCAGCCTCCAGAACTATAAGAAATAAATCTTAGCCCTTTATAAATTAGCCGATCCCAGGTATTCTGTTATAGCAGCACAAATGGGACAGCCAGGCTGTGCTCCTATCTAACTGTGTGACTTTAAGTGAGTTGCATTTACTGTTAATGTAATAGGAATAATTTATTAATTTGGTAGAAGTTATATTAATTTGAAAATTACAGCATAGTTAAGCAAAGAGCAGGTCTTCCTGGTTTAGAATTCAGTGAGAATGAAACACAGTACTTTCTATACAGAAGGTAGTCTGACCAAGGTACTTACCATAACTAGGGAGTTTATGGTAATAAAGTATAAGAAGGCATGATTCTATTGTTTGTAAGTAGGGTTCTTTGAATTTTACACAGAGTAAGGTACTTGTATCTTTCAATAAAAGAATAGAGACGAGAGGAAAGAAATTATAAGGGCCTCTTAAAACTTTTACAGATGTGCTCAGTACCTACTATTGTTAACTGTAAGGTGAACTGCATGTCTTAATAATACACAATAAATAAATATATTACCAGAAATATATTTTACACTCATTTCACATAACATTAAAACTATACTGAAATTATGTATTACCTGTATTAAAATCTAATTTGGTCATTTGAAGTGCATAGGCTTCACAATCTTTCTTACTAAAACTGAAAATAATTACAGGTTGAAAATTTCTTTCCATAATCATCTTCACAATCTTGAACACATTTGATGGTCCTGCAAAGAGAGTAGATAAATCATACCCCCACATAAACTCAAAATAGATCATATCTAAATGTAAAAGCTAAAACTATAAAACTCTTAAAAGGAAATACAGGAATAAATTTTCATGATCTTGGGTTAGACAAGGCATTCTTGACTATGACAGCAAAAGCACAAGCAACAGAAGAAAAAAACAGACAAGCTGCACTTCATTAAAATGAAAAACTTTTGTGCTTTAATGAACACAATCAGCAAAGTGAAAAGACAACTCCAACCCAAAGAATGGGAGAAAATATTTCCAAATCATCTATCTGATGAAGGTCTATAATTCAGAATATATAAAGAACTCTTACAACTCAACAACAAAAAGACAAAAAATATAATTTTTAAAATGGACAAAGGATTTAAATAGACAGCTGTCAAAAGATATACAAATGGCCAACGAGCACATGAAAAGATGTTCAACATCACTAGCAACCAGAGAAATGTAAATTAAAAACCACATTAAGATACCACTTCACACCCCTAGGATGACAACTATCAAATAGATATAATATTAAGTATTGGCAAGGACGTTGAGCAAGTGGAACCCTCATACACTCCTAATGGGAATGCAAAATGATGCACCCACTTTGAAAAATAATTTGGCAGTTCCTCAAAAGATTAAACAGACTTTCCACATGAGCCAGCAATTCCATTCTTAGCTATATACCCAGAAGAAAACGAAACACATATTCATACAAAAACTTGTAGGACATGCACGAATGTTTACAGCAGCATATCCTAACAGTCAAAAACTGGAAACAACCCAAATGTCCATCCACTGATGGAGAAATAAAATGTGGTATAGTCATACAATGAAACATTATTTGACCATAAAAAGGAATGAAATACTGACATAGTGAGTATCAAGTTCATGAATGAACCTTGAAAACATTATGTTCACTAAAAGAAGTCAGTCACAAAAGATGACAAATATTATGATTCCATACATATGAAAAGTCCAGAAAAGGCAAATCCATAAAGACACAAAGTTGACTAGTAATTGCCTAAGTCTAGGAGGTAGAGAGAGCTGAGGCTGGGGGGAAATGGGAAATGACTGTTAATGTATTCAGGGTTTCTTTTGGGGTTTATGAAAATATTATGGAATTGGATAGTAGTGATGGCTGCACAACTCTGTGAATATTCTATAAACACTCAACTATACACCTTAAATGGGTGATTTGTATAGGATGTAAACTATACTTAATTCATATTATATATAAAAAAAGAGATGAACCTTTATTCATCCAATTTTATCATATACCGTCTAGATCTTTATATAGCTTCCTGAGGACAAAATGAAATAAAAGACAAAAAATGTCAGAGTAATTTTAATATACAATTTACATGTAAAGTTCTAAATTACCTTTTGTTCCTCCTTTCCGTCCCTTCTGGTCTCCTTTTGCCAAATCACCTGCATCCCGAAGCACTTGCATTGCAGTATTAAAATTATCTTCTCTGAAGTCACCCTGTAATCACGGATTTTTTTCTATGTATCTTCACTAATATTTAATCATAATTCAAACTACTTGCACACCTCAAACACAAAGCTTCCTCAAATAATAAAATAATTTAATGTAATAATTATAACAAAGGTCACCAAAATAATTCAAAAATGTTCTGTGGTAAAAGGTAATAAAAGGAAGTAATAAAACTGATAAGGAAGCAATAAAACTGGAAACAGCAAAACATTAAGATACCTGAAACATGTTTGGAGCCCCTGTTATCCAGGCATTTTTAAATACTAAGCAAGGAGGAAAATCTAATTCATGTATAACATTTTTGAGAAAAAGTACAAAAAAAAAAATCATCAATTTTGAACTGTGAAACTATCTCAGACCAAAAAAAAAAACCAAAAAGGTCTCTGCCATTATTCTCTATTTCAAAATTAAGGAAAAGCACGGTATTAACAATAAAGTATGACATTATAGATATAAGAAATGATAATTACTCCCTTACATTTTCATCAACCACAAGGTGCAGGCCATCTCCTCCTGCTGGAAAAATGTAGTGTTGCAATGGAGTAGGCCGATAATCTGTGTAAATTACATGACAAGGCTGTAAAAAGAAAGAGTTTAACATGTAAAGTTTTATTTCTTCAAAATAAAATTGTGTATTTGACCTACCTAAAAGACCTTACAGAAATAAAATTGTGAATCCAACATGTCAAAAAGAAACCACTTTTTAAAAAATATTTTAAAAAAACCAGGCAGCAGAAAAATGTGGAAAAATTAGGTCTATCAAATTATACTACCATCTTCTCAATTTACCATTCCCTAATCAGTGCCAAATAAACAACCTGAGCTTTAACTACCCATTACCTAGCCCTGAGATTCTGTGATTACAGAAGGTATCTGTTTCTATGGAGTAGTATGGTGATACCAAGGTTCCCTGAGATAAAATGGAACTTTTCTGCCCCACAGGGGCTTTTCAAAACTTTAGCTCCTCTAGAAAATCCACTGGGTCTCTGTTCTACAGGAGCAACCTGGGGAATGCTACAAAAACACATCTACAGAGCTTATAAACAGGTAAGAATAAGTTCATGCGGATATTGGTATAAAGTAAAAGCAGAAAAATAAAAACAAGAATAAATTCAGCATATGTAAACAAACACTTGTTATGAAGTCCTACACAGACGCTAAAGTTGGACTAGAAAATGGAACTAAGTCTGAGTTTACATGAGAAAAATCAAATCGAAAGCTCAAGAAATGCCCCCAGCTTTTCCTGGTATCAAGGCATTAGAGGAAATTCTCCATTGTTTACTCATGGATTACTATCTGAGTAAATGCAGTTTCTAAACTTGGCAGATCATCAGGACCAACTTGAGAACTTTTAAAAATCAGAGCTTCCACAGATTTAGATATACTGGGTTTGAGATCAGGCTTCAGAAATCAACATTTCTAAAAAGCTAGTCAGTTAATTTTTTTTTTTTTTTTTTTTTTTGAGACAGAGTCTCACTTTGTTGCCCGGGCTAGAGTGCCATGGCCTCAGCTTAGCGCACAGCAACCTCAAACTCCTGGGCTCAAGCAATCCTTCTGCCTCAGCCTCCCGAGTAGCTGGGACTACAGGCATGTGCCACCATGCCCGGCTAATTTTTTCTTTTTTTGTAGAGACTTGTTCTTGCTCAGGCTTGTTTCGAACTCCTGAGCTCAAACAATCCGCCCGCCTCGGCCTCCCAGAGTGCTAGGATTACAGGCGTGAGCCACCTTGCCTGGCCAGTTAATTTTGAAAAGCTACTTGATTTGAGTAGTTTCACATTAAAATGTTTTCTTTATTCTGGACAGCATTATGAAAAAATTATAGGAGGGTATAGTAAGGCCAACCTCTAACATTTTAAACACTAAACACATCAAAAAAGGAGAAAAAAATACCTGCTTATGTAAATGACAAATCCATTCAGCAAACTGACGGGCATTTGGAATAGTAGCCGAAAGGAAGACATAGTGGACATTATCAGGAAGCAAAATGATGGTTTCTTCCCATACTACACCACGTTCTGGAAAAAATAAATGTACCTTGGAATACAACATCACTTTGCAACAGTATCTAAAATTATATTCTCTTAAGCTTTATAATTAGAAATGCAGACCACTTTATGCAGGAATATCTTTAGCCACAGAACCTTACTGAAAACTACTTTAGTTCTTACCATGAATCTATCCGGTAGGAAGTTAGTATACCAAACCACTATAAACACAATGTACTCTGAAACAGCCTGCAAAGAGCAGCTCCAGACTGAATCCTTCCAAACAACAAGAGCCCCAAAGAGAAGGCAGGGGAATAGTATTTTCACTTCACTTTAAGAAGCCATAGTTACTGGCTTGTAGACATGGGGCCTCACTCTGTCACCTGGGCTAGCAGGCAGTGGTGCAATCATAGCTCACTATAACCTCGAATTCCTAGGCTCAAGCAATCCTCCCACTTCAGCATGTGAGTAGCTAGGACTATAGGCATGTGCCACCAAAGCCTGGCTAATTTTTTTAATTTTTGTACAGACAGGGTCTCACCATGTTACCCAGCCTGGTCTTGAACTCTTGGCCTCAAGCGATCCTCCTGCCTCACCCTCCCAAAGTGCTGGGATTACAGGCATGAGCCACTGTGCCCAGCCATTTAGTTTTTTTTTTTTTAAACAGTAAACTAACTTATTAAAAATCAAGAAAGTTAACTTTGTAAGCTAGAAGTTTTAGAAATTCTTTAACTTAGTTACATTAGTAAGTTCTCTATTAAAAGCCAGTTTTTATTAAAAATTCCACTTGCTCAAATTGAATTTACAATTTTTCATCCAGCAAAAGTTAGTATTTAAGGAGTTAAATGAAATCCTAAAGCGAAAATTGTATCATGCTGTTCAGAATTTAAAGAAGCAATAGTTCATTAGAATTCTAACCACACAAAAACTGAAGGCAAAATTTAATAACTTCTCATTCAAAATTCCTAATGCCATTCCTAAAGGAAATATATGATACACATCTTAACACTGCAGAATATACCTGAATCTCTCATGTAATGGATTTCATCAAATATGACCCAAGCAACTTCTCGCATAACTTCAGAACCTCTGTACAACATACTTCTCAAAATCTAAAGAAAAAGTAAAAGATTTATTTAGCAGGATTTTGACATAACAACTAATAGTTAAACAAAAACTGTTTTTTCCAATAAGCAATTTTGGATACTTTTTATTAAATAGAAGTATTAAAATAACTTTAGGGAATTACGTATCTTAAGACTATTTCATAAATCAAATCATCTTTCTTTATTCACAAAACCAAAGTAAATGACTTCTAAACAGTTACTAATCAGATACAATATACATAGAGAATTATTATCACCCCTGTTCTCCGTATATCTAGAATATGAAGTGACTTCCTTATATGCACAGCCCATTTCCAAGATCCACACTTCCTAAAACATGAGAGCAACTTAAATTATCCTGTATCCAAAACACTGGATCCCATAGTGTTGCCCAATTTCTTCTGCCTTGACTAATTACAATATGGGCACTTTCTGGCAATATTTATTCTAATTTTTGGAGTTAAAATCTTCAACATAGAATTTTTGAGAACAGAAAACAAACTTACACGGGGCACCAAAATGAAAAGTGAGCAATGCCTTTGGCTGGCTCTGCAGACCAGAAGCTAAGTTACGCTCACTATTGTATTATAGCATACATATCCTTGTAAAACACAAAAATATAATTAAAGTATGTATTATACAAAAGTACTTAGTAAAGATAGCTAATCGTGTCTAAAACTTAAGATGCTATAAGTATATGAAAAAATTAATAGTGATTATGAGAAGAAGCTAAACATAATACTGCATTCTTTAAAGTTATTTACCTACTTGTATTAACACTCAGATGTATAAGAAATAAATCACATGAAACAAAGAGCCACTACTTATAAGAAATTATGTATTCAAATACTGATAACTATGTATATAAAACCAATAAAACATTTTCATGTCATTGACAGTAATAAGCCTTTAAAAATAACTGAAGAAAAAAGTATCTAAATTATATGACAAATACCAGAAATATTGGTAATTTAGAAATAAACATGTTACTAAAACATTTTAAGATAAATTGTATTCATTTCACATAAGTGTACTCAGAAAATAAAGTATTACATTTTATCTAAACAGAGCAAGCAATAAAACATTATGTGTTCTAAGTGAATAGACACATTAATTAAATTATAAAGGAAAAGTCAGGTGGGGCACTACATAAATTACCTCTGTGGTCATAACAAGACAAGATGCTGTGGGATTAATAGTAACATCTCCTGTCATCAAACCAACATCTTGAAATTCTTCATACATTTCACGGTATTTTTGGTTACTCAGAGCCTTAATTGGGCTGGTAAATATTACACGCTGTTTTTCCCTTAAGGCCAATGCAATGGCATATCTAAAAATGTGAAAACAAAAATAATTATAAAACCTTTTCTTTAAATTACATGATTTTTAAATTCTGTTAATATTATGTCCAAATTTTCCCTAATTATCTTAAATGGACTTTACAGAACATTACTATCTTATCTACTTACTAATAATTATTATGATAAATCTGAAATGTAGTGGTCTAAATAAACTAGAACATTTTAACTCTGATCACTTAGAGTTAATGTAATTTAACTACTAACATCAATGGATTACTAATGGTTACCCTATTTCCTACAAGTAAAACACCTATTTCTACAGATGGTCCTCTAAAAGTTTAGTGCCTCTGCCTGTCAGTTTACGTGTATACAGAAGACAATTAGGAAAATACTTATAGTCCCTGCAATATGAAATGTTTTCCCCCAAGTTTCATAGTTAAGCTAATCCATATGTATTCTTTTCCTACATATAATAGTTATGAAAATTATGGTACATTCTGATCATGGAAAAGTCATTCCATAGCTATTAACGGGACATAATATAGAAGTTTTATTTGTTTTTAAAGAAAATTGAGGTAAGTATTTAAATATAGACCATGAAATCAGGATTAAGCTTAAAACTGTGGTAGATCCCCCTTATTTAAGATATAGTTCCTGCCCACAACAATTTTATGATCTATTCAGGGAAATAAAAATAATATTCATCTCAACCATCCTCCAAAGTAGTGAAATAAGCAACTAGAAAATTAAAAGTTGTCCAAACATCATCAAATATGAATTATAAGAGATATCCATGAAAGAAAAAAGAATACAGAGGTGCTACAATATATCACCTAAAATGTCTACTGTTCAACAAAAATTGCAAGATGTAAAAAGAAACAGGAAAGTATGACCCATACTTAGGGGAAAAAAGCAATCAAATGAAATTGATTCTGAGTGGTCACAGACATGGAACTTAGCAGACAAAGTCTCTAAAACAGCTATTAGAATAAGATGTCCAAAAAAATGCAATGAAATGGGTTCTAAGAATTAAAAGGAAATAGAACAATGGCTTTGATAGGCATCTCAACAGAGAAATTGAAACTATTAACAATATAACCAAATGAAAACTCTACAGATTAAAATTACAACGAGCAAATGAAAAATTCACTACATGGGCTCACGAGCAAATCTGAGATGGCAGAAGAAAGTATCAGTGAACATAAAGATAAATCAAAAAGAGAAAGTATCAAATCTAAAGAGAGAAAGAAATAGAAGAAAAACAAGAGACACTCAGAGATCTGCAGGACAAGTTCAAGTGTCCCAATGGAAATTTCAAAATGCAAAAGAGGCAGGAAAAAATAATAAATAAAAAACTTTGTAAATTTGTTTTAAAACATTAAAACATTAATCTACAGATCCAAGAAGCTCAATGAACACAGGAGGAAAAACTGAAAAAGAAACACACCTAGAAATATCATAGTTAAACAGCTGAATGACAAAGAGAAAGGCAGACACCACTGCGCTCTACCTCAGGCAACAGAGCCAGATTTTGTATCAAAAAAACGAACAAACAAAAAACAACATTTGTATACTAATAAAGAATCCTTACAATGCAATAAGACCAACAACCCAATTTAAAACATCAGCAAAAGACTGAAATAATTCACCAAAGAAACACAAATGGATAAACACATGTAATGATGCTTAACATAAATCAGAGAAACGAAAATTAAAACCACTACGTGGTATCACTACACACCCACTAAAATGGGTAGAATCAAAAAAGACAATACCAAGAGTTGACGAGGATGCAGAGAAACTGGCACCCTGATACATTACTGGTAGGAATATAAAATGGTACAGTCACTTTGAAAAAGAGTTTATCAGTTGCCTAAAGAGCTAAATGCATATTTGCCACAAGATCAAGCATTTGCATTCCTAGGTATCTATCCAAGAGAAATAAAAACAGATGTCCCTTGAAGATTTGCACACGAATGTTCTTATCAGTATTGTAATAGTCAATCACATGATCAGTGTTCGCCTAGAGCTGGAGGTAGGAGTGGGTTTGAATGCAAACACACACAAGAGAATTGGATGGATGGAAGTCTTCTAAAACTGGTGAGGAATGCATACTTGTACTAATTTACTAACTCAATTGTATATTTACAATTGGTGAATTCAATGGTAAGTAAATTATATAATAAAGCTATTCACATTAGGGCCAAGAAAACTACTCAGTTTCATAAACAACATGGTACCAACGTGTTAGTTCTAGTACCAAGTTTATAAATAAAATGTTACATCCTGCTATAGTTATCAGCTAAAGTAGTTTACCTGAAGTCCTTTCATTCCTAGGAAAAATCTTTTATGTGAGATCCATGACCCACTCCCTGAAATTATAACTACTGGTGTGAATACACAAATCTGTACCTTATCAGTTTTATTTTGGTTGAAGTAAAATTCATATGACATAAAATTAACCATTTTAAAATGTATAATTCAGTATAATTTAGTATATTCATAATTTTGTGCAACTACTACCTCTATCTAATTCTAAAATTTTTATCACCCCCCCCCAAGAAACTCTATACCCATTAAGCAGTTATTCTCTATTCTGCCCTCTGACCAATCCCTGTCATCCACCAATCTGCTTTCTGCCTCTATGGATTTACCTATTCTGGATATTTCATATAAATGGAATCATACAATAAGTAACCTTTGTGTCTAGTTTCTTTTACTAAGCGTAATGTTTCTAAGGTTCATCCACATTGTAGCATGTATTATACTTCATTCCTTTTTATGGCCGAGTAACATTCCACTGTAGGGATACACCACATCTTATTTATCCATTCACCCACTGATGGACATTTGGATTGTTTCTATCTTTTGGCTCTTATGAATAGTATTGCTATGAATGTTCATGTACAAGTTATTTGTCCGAATACCTGTTTTTAATTCTTTCATGTACATATCTAGGAGTAGAATTGCTGGGTCATATGATAATTCTACGTTTACCTTTTTGAAGAAGTGTCAGACTGTCTGCCACAGCAACCCTCATCAGATTTTCAAAAGTGTCTATGACCCTGGTGAATTTCTTAAAATTCTCTTTACGGTTTCCTAGCCCAGGGTTTGAGAGCAGGTTTCAGCATACATGTGAAAACTTCCTCCACTGAAAATCTCTCTCCTCTTGTAGAAAAAAATGAAACCAAGGTTATCCTAATGACCAGAATTCAAATGACTATGTATTTTGGCTTTAAATGCATAATGCACCAAATATACTATTAAATTTGTTTTTCTGAGTGAGATTAAAAAATTGAACTAAGAGTAGTCAAAACTCTTCGTCTATACCTGTTTCTCAGGAAGAAACTAGCTTTTGACTTCAGCACCTTCTAAAAAGGAGTGGACCACTGAGAAAATGGTCTTACTCCACTGAACAGAACTCATTCGGTAAAGGACCATATCGTGTTTGAGGATAAGAAATAAAGACTATTCTGTAACTGTAAGTGGCTGACATCACTGAGATGACACTAAAAGATCCAAACTTCATTCCTCTAACTCTGCAAAGAGAAAAATTGGGACTTGCACAGCTAAGCCAAGGTCTACAAGTAATTAATACACTGATCAGATAAGCCCTGACCAGGAGTGCAAAAATATTCAGCACCCAACAAGGTAAAACTGACAATGTTTTGGTATGCAATAAAAAAGTACCAAGTCATATTTTCTTGCAAAGAAGCAAGAAAATATAATCTATAATGAGAAGGGAAAATATCAATAAAAACAGATCCAAAAATGAGACAGACGACAGAATTAGGAACTAATAATACAGTGACCAGATAAGGAAAAAAATATTCCAGGACTCGTGAAATAATTCTACCACTACTACAGTTTAAATGTCTCCTACAAAACACATGTTGAAATTTAATTGCCAAGGGTATTTGCAGGTGAGGTCTTTAAGAGGCGATCAGGTACCAGGGCTCCATCTTCACGGGTGGATTAATTATGTTATCTTGGGAGTGGATTAGTTGTTGAAGGAGTGGGTGCCTAATAAAAGGATGAATTTGGCCTAATTTCCTCTCCCTGCCTTGCCATGTGATGCCTTCTGCTATGGGATGACTCTTGCAAGATGCCAGTGCCACGCTCTTGGACTTCCCAGTCTCCAGAACCATGAGCCAAATAAATTTCTGTTCTTTAACAACTACTCAGACAATGGTATTCTAACAACAGAAAACAGACTAAGAGAACCACCATGTCAAGGTAAAGAGACTGATAGACAGGGTGATTGGTGCCATTTTTATCTGTTTCTATTCTCTACGGTCTTCTGTACTCTTTAAGTATTCTCTGTTATGAGCACCTAATTCAGCTGCCCAATAGCAAAGTCATAGAAGTAAAATATGTTATAAATTATTAAATGCTAATCCAGAAAAGTCAATCTACAACAGACTGCACAGTATCATTCACATTAAAGAGTACAATCCACTTTTAGAGCGGTCCAGTTCCTCTCAAACTTTACTGCACATATTCATCACCTGGTGATCTTATTAAAATGCAGATTCTGAGTCAGTAGTTTCAGACTGGGGCCTAACAAATTCCCAGGTTATGCCAAGAATCATACTGTGAGTAGCGAGACTCCAGAATCACAGTTATTAAATATATTTTATAAAAAAAGACACCTAATAAAATGTGCACTACGGTAGTAACATATACAGCAAAAATAATACAGATGGCACCATCAATGGTCAGAAAAAAATGTGTATACATATATTAAAAAAATATAGAAAAGATCCACTTATACCAAGATGGAGTAACAGGGACTGGCTTCACCTACCTACCTGAAGCAACTATAAAACAGGACAAAATATATGAAACAATGGTTTAGACACTGGATATAAAGACAGTAATCCTTGAAAAAGAGAAAACAAAGTAGGTAATCCCAGATTACTGCCTATATTTTCTAAGGCACAGTTCCAAGAGGGGCAATCCAGGTAGATGCTGGCGGTTTCCTAAATTGACCAAACCAAGATTGGCGTCTAAGGGAGGCCAAGGCAGCTAGGGTAAGCAGGGCAGTATACCAGAGTGGAGAGAACCACATATGGAGGATGCTGAAAATCTGCCAAGCATTTGCAGGTCTTCAGGTAGTAATGATCAGTGAATAAGTCTTAAGAATTACCTGAGGACAGGGAAAAACCAACCAAAAGGAAAAGAGATAAAAATTACCAAATCTCCCATATGACTGGGAATAATTTGGGTTCCCACCAGCTATAATGAAAAGCCTCACAATTCTCAAGACACTGGGTAGAATACTGAACAGAGTATTGACTAAGTAGAGGGGAAAATTAACCCCAAACTAAATTCTGCTCTGGTCCTGCCTAAAAAATCATAAAAGCAAGCCTCAGAAGGATTCTATTTTTTCCAAGTAACTTAACTATACCCCACAACAAATTGCATGCATATGTATAGGAATGTAAAAATATTCAGCACCATTCAAGGCAAAATTCACGATGTTTTGGTATATAGTAAAAAAGTGTCAGGTGTAGTTCAACTAAGGATCTAGAGGGAAAAAAAGTATCAAGTATGCAAAGAAGTAGGAAAATACAACCTATAATGAAAAGGAAAAAAAATCAATAAAAACAGATCCAGAAATAAGACAGATGACAGAATTAGTAAGCAAGAATTTTTTTTTTTTTTTTTTTTTTTAGGCAGGGTCTTGCTCTGTCACCCAGGCTGAAACGCAGTGGCCTGATCATAGCTCACTGTATACTCAAACTCTTGGGCTCAAGTGATCATTCCACCTCAGCCTCCTGACTCACTAGGCACACCACCACACTTGGATAATTTTCTTTTTAAGAGATGGGGTCTCCCTATGTTCCCCAGGCTGGTCTCCAACTTCCGGCCTTAAGCGATCCTGCCACCTCAGCCTCCCAAAGTTCTGAGATCACAGGTGTGAGCCACTGTGCCTGGTGTTAAGCAAGGATATTAAAAGTTACTATAACTGTATTCTGTATGTTCAAGAAGGTTGAGGGAAGATTTAATAGCATGTTAAGTAGAAAGATGAAAAACATTAAAAGACCTAATCATTCTTTTATAATTGAAAAACCCAAGAGTCTAAGATTCTAAACACACTGGATAGTATTAAAAGCAAATTGGACATTGCAAAAAAAAAAAGATGAAAAAACTTGAAGTCATAGCAATAGAACCTATGCAAAATTAAGAGACTAAACACCAAAAGATAAAAGAATAATACAAAGAATATCAGTGGGCTATGGGACAACTTAAAAGTGGCCTGCTATAATTATAACTGGAGTCCCTGAAAGATAAAAGGAGGGGAAATATTTGAAGTAAAGAATGGCTGAAATTTCCCCAAATTTGATGAAAACTGTATTGATAATAAATTCACAGGTCTAAGAAACCTAACAAACTCAAGCATAAGAAACATGAAAGAAACGATGTTAAAGTCACATCGTTATTAAACTGCTTAAAGTCAGTGATAAAATTTAGGGCATCAAAACATCCAATCAAAGCAGTATGCAAAGAGCAGGAAAATACCGACCCATAATGAAAAGTCAATCCACCAAAACCGACCAGGAAATAACACAGACGAAAGAAGTAGTCAAAAGGACATTAAACAGCTTTTATAACTATATCCCATATGTTTAAGAAGCTAAAGGAAAAGCTAAGGAGATATGGACGATATTAAAAATAAATAAATTTAACTTAAGGCAAAGAAAATATAATATCTGAGACTAAAAATGCACTCAATGAGATTAACAGCAGATTAGACAATTCAGACGCAAAAATAAATTTTAAAACATAGCATTAGAAATGACCCAAAAATGAAACTCAAAAGAAAAAAAATGAACATAGCACCAGTGAGTTGTGAGACAACTTTAAGTAGCCTAATATAAACAAACTGCTTAAAACCAATGATACAGATAAAATCTTAAAAGCAGCCAGATGGAAAAAGACACGTTATGAACAGAGGAACGAAGGTAAGGATCACAGTGGATGTCTTGTTATGAACTACACAAGTCAAAAGCAATCTTAAAAGAAAAAAATTAGAATTTTATCTCAAGGGAAAATATCTTTCAAAAATGAAAAATTAAGACTTTTTTAGACATAATAAAAGTTAAAAATATCTTATCAGGAGATTTGCCCTACAATAAATGCTAAAGGAATTTCTTCAGACAGAAGGAAAATGATGCCGTACAGAAAAATGGATCAAACATTACATATCAAGACCTATTAAATTATTTTTAAAACATATCAAAAACATTTTACAGACACATCCAATTGAACATAACAAAATTGTGGGAAGCAGCTACTGCAATATTACAGGGAAATTTCCATGACTAAAGGCGTATGCTAGAAAAAGAAAGGTCTTAAATCAATTACCTCCTTTGCTTCTTAAGAAACTAGAAAGAAAAGCAAATGAAGTCCAAAGTAGACGAAAATAAAGATCAGAGTGAAAAACTAATGAAACAGAAAACAGAACAGAGAAAAATCAATGAAACCAAAACCTGTTTTTTTGTGAAGATCAATATAACTGATAGACCTCTAGCCAGATTAGAAAAAAAAATACAGAAACAAGTATTACCGATACCCAAACCAGAAAGACATATAATAAAACTAAAAACTAATACCCCCTATGAACACATATGCAAAAATTCTTAACAAACCAAAGTGAATCCAACAATATGTAATAGGGTTATATGTCATGACCAAGTGAAGTTTATCTCGGGTTTACCATTTAAAAAACCAAAGTAATTCATCACACTAGCAGAACAAAAAAATAATTTCAATAGATGCAAAAAAAAAAAAATTTGACAAAATCCAGTATCTAAATATTTTATGTGCATGTACATATACAAATACACGGATAAAATCTCTGCAAACTAGGAACAGAGGAGAACTTCCTCAAACTGATAAAAGGCATCCATGAAAAACCCATAGGTAATATCATGCTTAATGATAAAAGACTGAGTATTTTTCCCCTACTATCAGGAACAAGGCAAGAATGCCCCCTTTCATCACTTCTACTGAACATTGTATTGGAGGTCCTAGCCAGTACAATAAGAAAAAAAAAATTAAAGTTATTCAAAATAGAAAGAGACTAGTAAAACTCTTTACTTGCAGAAATCAAACAGAAAAAAACTTTTAAAGAGATGAGAAACAAAGTGATTTTAAGATTTCATTTAAAAAGAGATCTACTTACTCAGCACATACAGTTTTTCCTGCTGATGTATGCGCAGATACTAAAACAGACTGATTATTATCAACACATTGAATGGCTTCTCTTTGAAAAGCATCAAGAATGAATGGGTATTCCTACAAAAACAAAATATTAGTATCTGCATGAAAATACCTAGCCATATCAGAGCACACTTAAAATCAAAACAGAGGTTACTCCTAAAAGCGTTCTGGGAGCATTCTTTTATGATTCTACTTAGAAAATATATTACCCACTAATGAAAATTAGGAAGAATAAAAAACATCTTTATCCAGACAGCACAAATGTTAATTCTGCTATCTTTCAATTATTACATTATGTTTGTATATATTACATTATTAATAATACAATAATCATTACCATTTATCAAAAACATGCTCTGTGGTAGGTACTGTGCAACATATTTTCCATATATTATTATTAATTTTCACCTCTTATAGATATTATTTCTTTTCATAGATGAGAACTCTGAAGAGCTGAAAAGTCAAGTCCCTCACTAAATTCACGCAGCAGATGCAGAATAATACATATATTAGACTTGAAGAGTTTATGCTTACTACACCATATTGCCTTTTTTATTTACAGAAGATTACTTGGAAAATTAAACCTTAAAAATCTGTTAACCTTTTAAGGTCTACCAGGACTTTGAAATCCATCTAGTAAAAGCACAGAGTTTTGGTTTCACTAGAAGCTTGTTAAACTGCTAAAACTATAGGCAAAACTTGTATACATGCATTTATCTAACTTTCATTAGACTTTTTTTTTTAAAGGCTGAGAATCACTATTTTAATATTTTAAAATCTTATCACATGACGGTTGGTTTCTAGCATGGTTTCTTATTTGGTTCTCACTATATCACTTTTCTCCAGTTGACTTCTTGATACACACACACATACATACACACACAGGGAAGTATAAGAATCTCATTTGAAATAGTTTATTTTTAAGAAAAAGAGACTCACAAAACTGTACAAACTATATCATCCGAAGTACAGACCTTTGCAGCTTTTCCAGCTCGAGGTTTAAGTGGTAAATAATCTTCATCTGCAGGAAGCGCAACCTGATGTCAAAGTTAAAAACAAAAAATCATCAACTTACTGTTTGAGAATTGATACACTCAGCACTTAACCGATGATGGTTTGAAAAGTAAAAGTGATGAACTAGAATGTTTCTGAAAGCCTTAGACACTGTAAATTAAACTGCCTTTAAGAACAAAGCAAAAAACTAAAGTTTCAACATTCAAAAAATACCTCTCCTAGCATCTGTCTAATCATAATTGAAAGCTTATGTTTATCTCACTGAAGAAACTGTGTATTAAGGTCTAGGATCTATCTTGGATATCTTTATATTTTCCATACCTAATGTACTGCCTGGAATTAATCAGTGCTCAAACAACCTGAACAGACATAAAACAGGACGTCACCACATGAAAGAAACCTATATAAAATAAAATGACAGTCACTATATTGCAGAACAGGAAACTAATTTTCCTCCAGTGAAGATGAAGACCTGGAGTTCACAATATACTTAAATTTCTACAACTTAAGTTAATACTGGCAATGTTTACATATTCCTAACTGTACAGGAGGAATCTAACCAATTAATGTATAAATAGTCCACAGGATCAAGTAAAGTACACACAGAAATTAGGAATCATTTCAAAGAGCAAAACTTCAATAAACAAATATTAGATGAGATTAGCTGCCTTAGAAATATTGAGAGATTCTCAGTAAACCTGCAACTCAATTATAATCAAGGTGATATGGGAAGTTTCAGAAAGGAATGACTGAATCTGACTATAATTAAGAAAAGTGAAATCTAATAAATTATGAAACCTTATAAATAATACCCAATATGAAGAATGTGTCAAAAGAAATGTGATGCCCTAAATGAAACCTATAAAAAAGGGTACTAAAAGTTAGATTTGATAGTTTATCCAGCACAGTTTAGGAAAGAGTTAATTTACAAGTTGTTTTTATTATCCCTATCCCCCAAATGAACACTTTTGGGGCATAGGGATAGTTTTCATCAGCTTTTCCTTTAAGACAATATATTTCCCTTTATTATAATTCTTATTCCCAGGTGTCAAATAGGTTAATAGTGAGACGATGACTTATCCATTAAATTAAGTTTGAAATGAGATTCTTCAATATACCTCCATCTTTTACAAGTATGATGAAAGTGAGTCTATCCTAAAGTGTCCAATTCTTGACACCATTAACAAAATCAAATTCCTAGATCTGAAAATATAACAGCTCTAAATCATGGTGTGATCTCCACTAAGGTACGACCAACCTGTGGTGCATAACTGGTTGGTTAGTTGACCTCCCTTACCATCTCTACTGATATTTTCCGTGACATGAACAAGAATATCAGCATAGATTTTTAACATCTCTCGGATATAACAGCAAAAACAAAATTATGTTTTTGTATCCATAAGAATCAAAGAGTTATGTTTTACTCTAAGAACAGTGTGGGTAACACTAACATATGACATGTAGAAGAGTAGAAGTCTAAGAGACTAAGGAGTCAGAAAAATAGAAAACCAGCAGGATGATCAAGAGTCAAATACTGGCCGGGCGTGATGGCTCACGCCTATAATTTTAGCACTCTGGGAGGCCAAGGCGGGCGGATTGTTTGAGCTCAGGAGTTCGAAACCAGCCTGGGCAAGAGGGAGACCCCGTCTCTACTAAAAATAGAAAGAAATTAATCGGACAACTAAAATATATAGAAAAAATTAGCCGGGCATGGTGGCGCATGCCTGTA